AAAAACCCCCCCCCCCCCATCACTTCTCTAATGGTCCGTCCCTAATTACCATCATATCAATTACTGCATAGCCTTTCTTCAGCACGATATCAATTGTTGAGTCAAACTTGTTGTTTGCGTTCCATATGGTACCCAAATTTTTCCACGTTAGTACTTCTTTAATAGGTAGACTACCTAGAACCCAATTTCTTTCCGGTGTTGGAATTTTTCTCACTTCTCTCCAAATACCATACCATTGGGCGAGAACAGTGTCGCTCTCATCTTCGAGAAGATCCAATCGATGAATCTCAGATTCAATGTCCTTCCGGAAACCACTATCAAAGATGTTTTCATTTTCATATCGTTTAAACTCATGCAAATCTTCAAAATAATTCGCCCACAAACTAGTGATCTTATGCGGATCATGCACCATTTCATCACCTATCTCAAGATTATAACGTCACTTCGTTTATTTTTCTTGGTAAGGTTAAGAAGTTTCCAAAATCTATTTTGATCTTGCTGTAACGTACTTGACATGTTAGCATACTCTCTCAGTGAGTATTCTTGTATGCAACGTCGCTGCTCACGTCTAAATAACCGTTTTGCTTCTTTATATTCCGCATACGTTTGATTGCGTGGTCCCCTAGGGCGCCCATCTTTTGCCCATTTTATATATTTTCTATTCACTTCCTTTCTTAATATTTTTAACTTATTGTTCCAGTAAGACTTTATATAGCTTTTATACGAGATGTGAGGCAAAACCATGCACGCTGGCATTTACCATGCAGTCTGTAAGTTCCTTAGCATAGTAATAGAGTCCGAAGTGTGTGATAAAGGGCCATCGATATCTAAGGAATCAAGTTTTCTATTTAACTCATTTTGGAACATTTCGATGTTGTCTGATGTACATTTTTTCCATGCAATTCGCAGAGGTGGGGCGTAGTTTGTTAATTGCTCAGGGAATGACATGATATCTAATGTAACCGTAACTGGAAGGTGGTGAGTTACATTCTCTGGGTGTATATCCAAGACCTCGGCATTAGAAATGCTCTGAAACAACGTGTTAGGTACACAAATGTAATCAATAGTTGGCACTGCAGTAGAGCATTCGTGGACCTGTACCGGACCTTTACAGACTGATTTCAAATTGACTGCAATTAGATTTAAGTTACTTAGAAGTTGTTGCACTAACTTTCCACGCGAGTTACTTGGACGACGACTTCTTTCGCCTGTTATATGCGCATTAAAATCCACCATGATGATAAAATCACTAAAACTTTCTTTAAGACAGAAATGTTTTAGTTCCTCAAGTGACTGGCAAAAGTCCCCATGGTACTATTTGTTGAGGGTAGGTGGATACTGCATATCATAACCCAATGTTTATTGTTTGTTTTGACCTTTATGGCCACTATTCTATCAGTTGCTCCACATTTTTTAACAATCAATTCCCTTCTCCAAAGTAGAGCTACACCACCCTGTGCACGTATCCACCTAACGTTTTTATTATTCAATGGACTACTTGTTGCATAGACTTTAAACCTTGGGTCCAGAGAGCTCAGAAATGGTAATCTATCATCATTACGCCAATGTTCGCTCAATGCTAGAATATCAAATCTTTGTAAAAGGTTTTTAACATACGCGAAACTACCAAAAATACCGCTGCAGTTCCAACACGTCAATCGAAGATTATAATTAACTCAGTGGCGTAGCCAGAACGATAATCGGGGGGGGGGGGGGGCATATTCA